ATTATTGTTATACTACAGTCAATGATATAAAGGCTATTCAAAATATAAATTAAAGAGGGAAATGTTTTTATTATGAATCATTATTTTTAACGATCATGCTTCCCCTCCTATAATAAGACAAAAGACAAAAGACGCAGGAAGAACACTTCAAAAATAAATGTAGATATTTAAATATTAATTTTTTTAGCAACAATTCTTCACGTTGTTTGATTGTTTCTCAGGTGGGGAACCGCGTGGGTGTGAAGAGGTGTAGTGACGACACCATGCACATCTTCATAGATGGAGAAGACATGGGACCTGCAGCCACTGCAGTAGCCAAGGTACACACACACACACACACACACACACACACACACACACACACACACACACACACACACACACACACACACACACACACACACACACACACACACACATACACATACACATACACATACACATACACACACACATACACATACACACATACACACATACACACACACACACACACACACACACACACACACACACACACACACACACACACACACACATACACATACACATACACACATACACATACACATACACACACACACCTACAATACAATACACAGCTTCTCAGCCCCACGCAGCCACTGAGCCCTTCTCTCTGTCCCGCTGCAGAATGTATACGGCGTGTTAGACCTGTATGGGCGGATAACGGCGGTGTCCATTGTGAGCTCTTCGTTGATTGAGGACATAGAGAGCGTGAAGGCGCCGTCGCTCTCCTCAGAGAGCTGCAGCGAGGCAGAGGAGGAGAGCACCCCCGTCAGAGAGGTAGGAGCACCTGTCTGTGAAAGCATTAGTCACTGCATCATTGGACTTTCCCAGAGACACTCACTCTTTATGCTACCTCCAGGTTGAGACCGAGCCGTGTGCACTGGTGCCCACCGCCGTGGCCTTCCTGGAAAACCACGGCAAAAACATCCAGCTGTCCAACCAGAACCTGACAGCAGCCAGAGTGTCCAGCTACAACCAGGGCCTGCTGGTGGCCGCCCAGCCGCTGGCCCGCCAGCAGCTGTTCCAGGTAACATCACTGTTATTGATACACATGTTGATGAGTTTAAAACAAACACCAGGGAATAAATTCACCAGCAACAATACAAAGAATTACGACATTCAAAGTCCTCTCTCTCGTCACCAGTTTCAAATCGACCGTCTGAACCCGTCGTGGACATCGTCGCTCTCGTTAGGGGTCATAGGTCACTCCCCCGACCGGCTCAACTTCCCCTCCACAGCCTGCTGTCTGAAGCGCTCCGCCTGGCTGCTGCAGAGGGACTCCGTCTTCCACAACTCCTTAAAGGTACACACCCACACTGACATACATCTGTCTGTCATGTCTCAGTCATTTTAAAACAGCTGTTAATAAACATAATAAGTCAGTTTTCGTAAATTAAATGAGCGCTGCTTTTCTCCCCCCTCAGATATGTGAGAACTATGGTCCTAATCTGGACACCTGTCCAGAGGGGACGGTGTTGGGTCTGCTGGTGGACACCAACAGCTGTCTCCACCTCTACGTCAACGGCATGGACCAGGGTGTGGCGGCGCAGGACATTCCTTCGCCCTGCTACACCTTCATCGACCTGTATGGCCAGTGTGAACAGGTAACACTACAGATGCAAACAAAAGATGAAAAGACATTCTAATATTTAAGAACCTCAAACCAAAAAACGGTTGAGCTTTTTGCTCGATGCCTGAAACAATTGATAAATCGACTTGATTAAAACTTGTCAATTACATTTGAATTCCTCCCGATGGATTTATCGATTCGGCAATACTTAATTAAGAATTCAATTAATGTTGTCATCATGATAGGTTACCATAGTAACAAACAACGTGCCAGCTGTGGGTGGAGAGAGTGGAGAGACCCGTTGTCAAGGCGACATGGAGAAGGCGGACATGGTTGACGGTAAGAAGCCACTTGCTTGTTTATCTTTTTTTAGGTTCTGTCCAGTCTTTTAAATATTGATATGACATTTTTTTTTTTTTCATTTACATTTTTATAGACATTTTGATAAACATACAAAACCACATATAGTTCAGTATACAATTGAATTAAAGACCCGTTGAAAAAAGAACAAAGTACAAATAAAAACAAGCAAACAGTGACATGGAAGCTTTCTATCCTATTTGTAATGCAACATCATGGTCAATCAATCAATGTTTATTTATATAGCCCAATATCACACATGTTACATTTGTCTCAGTGGACTTCACAGTTTGTACAGAATATCAGTATGACAACACGACACCCTCTGTCCTTAGACCCTCACATCGTACAAGGAAAAACGGTCTGCTTCCAACTCTCAATTTGTGGTGTCGTTCATTTTTCTTTTATATTCAACCTTTAATTACATTTTTTACATATCAAAAAGACTAGAATTGAAATGTCTAATTGAGTTGTGTATCCCACATTTTTGAACCTAGAGAAATGTAGATGATTTAAGCCGCTTAATTTAAGTTGCCTGTCAGATCTGCATGCTTCGGTGTTGTGTTCGTTTGACATAATAAATTGGCTTCTATCAAGTTTTAAGCAACAATTTTAAAGTACAATTTTTATACCTTGTTTGTTCTGAAACTATGAATTTGACCCGAATAAAGTATTTAAGTAATTGGAAATCTGGATCTTAAATGATCGGACCTTTGCGGATTATCCGGCTCCTGGTAGAAACCTCTTTAACGTTATTAACTGCAGGTATTCCCACCTGACTGCTATGACGGCAATAAATGTGTGGACAACAACTCCCATGATACTTCACACCAAGCTGTAGTTTGTGTTATTGTGTTAAATGAGAGACCCCTAGTGGCAGAAATTGAACATTGTGTGTTTGGTCTGTTTTACTTGAAGGAATCAAAGAGAGTGTGTGCTGGACGCCCCCTCCAGAAGTCAACCCCAACAAGACGTGCGAGTACCAGGCGCTGTGCGCACGCTTCAAGGACCTGCTCACTTTACCAGGTCAGTTTCACCCCAAAGCCTTTCAGTCATCATCTCTGTTTCAGATATAAACTCATGTAACAAATACAATGTTTGTCTCCTTAACAAAGATGGCTATTTTAATGAAGACGCAAAGTACAACCTGTGCTACTGTGAGTCCTGCCACAAGCTCCGGGGCGATGAGGCTTATTACAAGAGAGGAGAGCCCCCCCGGGACTACGCCCTGCCCTTTGGGTGGTGCCGCTTCGCCCTCAGGTGAGAGGACCGGGTCTCAGTCACATGCATGACAGGGGGAAGTTTATAAAATGACCCTTTTGAAGTCACCATTATTGGATGGAATGACCAGGGAATTATCACAAATGCAGGGAGAGAAAAACACTGGGAGTTTTGTGTCTATATCTAAAGCTGAAGGGACTCAAGGCTCTGTGATTACATTAAAACATTCTCTGTCTGTATTTAATAATGAGTTTTGAACATCTGCAGATTCTGCACATGTGAGTCTATATAAGTGCATGTACCCTCTTTGTGCAGGATCAAGACCCACTGTGAGGTTTCTAATGCACTGAAGAAGTGGCACATCGCGTACCACGGCACCAGTGTAGGAGCCCTGCGGCGCACACTGGACCACAGCCAGCTGCTGCCTGGTAGGACTATACTGGTTACCTTTTTCCAAAACACTCTTGATGAATGCTTCAAAGAGGACATATTATGCACATTTTTAGCTTAGTATTTGTATTTGGTGTCTAATGTGACATGTCTCCATGCTTTAATGTTCAAAAAGGTCTGTATTTTTCTCATACTGCCTGTTCTACAGAACCTCTTTTCACCCTCTGTCTGAAACCAGAGCCCAGTCTGCTCTGATTGGTTAGCTGGCCGGCTCCGTTGTGATTGGTTAGAGATGTCCCGCCCCTTAGCCTATCACGTACAATGTGCTGGAGTTATATCGTGACGTCACTATGTTACGGAACAAAACAAAGGAGTCCAATTAAGGTGTTTAAGGCAGGTGGGGGGAGAAACTCCCCAAATCAAACTTTGAGATTTTAGCCTTTGCAGACCATTTACATGCACAAACACCTATTTAACACACTACAGGGAATATAAAAACAAAAAATGGATGATAGTGCCTCTTTTAAATGGACCGCAGATTATTTGAATATATTGATGCATCTAATATCTCATGTAAGGAACAGATAAGAACTGTAACGTCTGTGAACTCTTGTCATTGCAGGGACGTCGTCGATCTTCTCGGTTGCCCCGGTGAAGGCAGAGGGGCCTAATGGCTACACTGAGCCGGAGGAGAACTGCGCCCCCGGCAGGGAGGTCCCCAGGGTTCGGCTCTCCCCCACCATGCGCTACTCCGGCATGGAGATGTTTGCCCCCAAAGTGCAGTAAGTCAAGGTTTACAGTGGAGAGCTAACCAGGAACAAGCTGGTGGAACACTCACTGATACTTCTCTTTGTCCTCATGCAGATTTCGCGACCCCCGCTCTGACCGTGCCCACCAGGCTCAGGTGGGCTTCCAGGTGTGTGTGCGTCCGGGCTCCTACAAGATGGGGCCGCAGACACTGGGTAATAGCGAGGCCCTGGACCCCCGCTTCAGCAACTCAGAGATCGAGTGGATCACCAAGGAGCAGGGCGGCACGCTCCTCTATGGACTGCTCATCCGGGTGGAGTGAACAACGGAGAGACAAGGGAGGCATACGGGTGGGAAGGGGGGGGGGCGCACGGCTCTCCCCACTCTTTTAATAAACTGACAACCAAATCCAAGCCCTGCCTTGAGCGAGAGACTCTTCTGGAATCCAGCTGTTCCACCTGTGGATTGTTGACAATTCAGCATTAAGATTCTTTTTTTTTTTTTTTTTGGTTGTTTGCTCTTGGACTCTATTAATGGCCGGGGGCTACGGCGGTCTCAAAGAAGAACAGACACTGCCTGCACTTTATGTTTCGGACACTCGTGGGCGATTTTTAAACGTTTCATCGACTCGACACAACACGTTTGTTCATTCGCTACCGTTTTTTTTAACACTTTTTTGTTCTAATTCTTCCCGACATATTTTCTTCAACACAAACATCTTTTTTTTTCATTTGGCACTTACTTCAACACCTCTGCTCTGGTCAGGAGCTGTCCCCTGCCAAGCTGCACGTTCATGGACTGTCACCTAAAAAGACTGAAACGTGGGTAAAAAAAACAAACAAGTGTTTTCGCCGAAATATAAAAAAACAGAAAGACAATTGAATCTGAGAATGATCCCAAGAGTGTCTTGTGATTGATTCATTTATTGGGGGGGCGGGAGATTTTAAAACTAGAGGAAGAAAAAAAAATGTTTACAAGTGTATGTTGGTCTTTTCTTTGTGTCTCTACATAAGCATTTTGGCTTCTTTATCTGTCCTGGTTCTGTTTCGTGGCCTAGCATCACGCCTGACTCATCCGGTCACAGGCTTTCAACTGTGGTGAAAAACTGGAAGGATTGACGGAAAAAAGGAATTTGGGAAGTTGTGTTGAGAACTATGAATGGCAATGATGTTCCAGCCTTGCAGCTTGTGTGTTACAACTGGGACGGTCCATCATGAGATATTTAAATATGAATATTTAATTCTAGGCTGTTTGATACAGAAAAAGGGGAAAAAGTTCAACATTATTGGGAAAAGCTCCCTTGCAGAGATATCAATCTACTCAAACTCTTAGCAAGTTAGAAAATATCCCGTAATGTGGTACTTTTTTTAAATTAAAAAGGTAGATAAATGGACTAAAGCCAAAAGGCTTAAGATGTTTTCTACATCACTCCCACTGCCTCGCTTCCCCCTTGTGGTTTACTCTACATACACCTCCTCACTGATCGATCCATTAGTCATGTCTGACTCTGTTTACCTGGCAGGACCTCCAGAAGTGTTTACATGTGAATGTCATTCATTAGGGCTCTGCGGTTCTTTTTTGTTGTTGTCGACTAACATCATTGATTTGTCAAATCTTTATACAAGGGTTTATTTAATCCATCTAACGAGTGATTGTATGTGAACAGCTTTTCAAAGCACTCTTTGATTCACAGTCCTGTTGCCAATTTGATAAACAAGCTTACTGAACACGCCCCCCCCCCCGAAATTTTTCACAGTTTTCCATGAGTCAAACTCAAAAAATCTAAATTGAAGAAGCTCAGTCTTCTAAGAGCAGCTGTGATCTGACTGATGGAGTTCAACGGGGGTTTGGCCGAAGGAAAAAACTTCCAATCAAAAGAAAAATGTGAAAGATATTATTCTATGGGTTATTTACAGCCCAGTGCTGCTTTGTACAATTTTTAATTTGTATTGTTTTCTTTATTTGTTTTTCTGTATGTTGCGTTGTACAGGCTGTTACATAACAAATCATATCTTCCTGATTTATAAAAAATGAAATAAACTGACAGACGGTATGCACAGAAGTATGGGTAAAGATGTTTCTTGTTTTTGTAAAACAAAAAAAGATGAAGAAAAGACAACCAACTAGTGCTTTTGGTTCTTTTTTGTATTTATTTAATTAGATTTAGAGTAGGAAAAAAAAAAGTATGGTTACTGACAGTTATAGCAGTGTTGCTAATGCATACTTACTCAATCACACCTTTTCCAAAATGCTGTTGACTAATTTCTCATTAAGGCCGGTAGTGGGTTCTTTCAACGCTTTATACAGAAATAGTGGCTGCTTCGTCTTGCATTTAAAGAACAGACATGCACAGAGTTATTGAAAATGATCAACTAAAAAGGATGCTCAAATTGTAGAAGTACAATAACGTACCTCTGACCATCCTGTGTGTGATCCCGTTTGGTTGCATAGTCAGTTTTGTTTTTATCCATCTGTCGCCAGCTTTAAAGACTCATTTCTGCTCAGGCTTTGACTTTAATTGGACCCTGAGTTTCCCTTTTTTGTTCTAATGTCTAACTTAGAGCTGCCGATCTGATCCTGACCACTTCCTCCAAATAGTTCCACATTTTGCATCCGTTTCTTTCTTCAAGATCATTCATGTTGTTTAAATCGGTCACAAACAGAAATGTATTTTGGTTTTAGAGGGTGTTAACTATAGCTGGAACTACTTCTTGACAAACAACGCTTTATCCATCCGCCCAGTACTTCTATGGGAAGTAGATAAATAGTTAAAGCACATTAACGTAACATAACGTAACCTTTTTTGCATTTCTGTTTGTAATTTTGTTAACTTGTTTTTATTTGCTTCACTTTTCCCTCAGATTCAAGTCTTTATGCGATGCTAAGCTAATCTACTACTGGCTCCATCCATTTATCGTGCAGACTAATTCCCGTCAAGAAAGCAGGTGAGTGTAGTTCAAAAACTCTTAAACTATTCCTTTCAGATTCCAGGCACAATAAGCTCTGATGCAAATCTAGCCTAATTTGCTTAAGATCTCAGAACCGGAAAAAGGAACAAAAGGTTTTTGCTACAAAATAGTATTGTTTGAGAGAAACTGAAGTGAAGCTGTTGATACGAAGTTTGTTTTGTGGGAGATTTAAGCAGCATCGTGTGCGTGTTGAAAGATTTAAAGTGTTAATGGCGAAGGGTAAAAGCTCTGAGAAGAGAGACAAACGGACAAAGACGATGTAAAAGTTTGGTTCAGCTTCATTCAAATATACATCTTAACTTCCACGCGCGCACACATACATACAAACTTCCAAATATGCCAGAAACCAACGGCAACAAAAGTCCCAGACAGTTTAAAAAAATAGCGAAAAGTTCTTTGTACACTTCCACATAACAACCGTTAACATGTTTCCCCGAACCCTGACGTACGACATTCACTCCCGAACATAAGCATCAAGCTACAGTGAGGGCTTTTATAAAAACGAATGATCACAGTAGTTCAAATAAAATGGCTCATTTTTGAATAAATAAAACAGTGACAAAATGATCTTCAGTACAAACGGTCTGCGAAGGATTTCCACATCTTTTGATTCATCATCACTTAAAAAGAAAAAGCTTCAGTTATCTGACTACAGCAGCTGTTTTTTCTCCCAACACACACACACACACACACACACACACACACACACACACACACACACCCCATTGCCTCACCTGCTGCACCACACCAGTGACTTTAGCGATAAGCCACATATAAACCTCCTTGTATAAACCACAGGAAAAGAACCGTCATCATTTACACACGTTTCCTGCTCATTAAAACAGACCCCCATCTTTGTTTTAGCTTAAAAATCCAAGATGTTGCTTTTGTTCCTTGGATACACAATCACCACCCCCCTGAAAGCCCCATTTCCTCTGATCCCACTCCTCTGATTCAGCAAGTTTTGAAGAGTTTCAACATTTACAATGTACTTCAGAGAGTTTGATTTTGAGGAGGAGGTTGCTTTGAGATATTTCAGCTAGAACGTCAGGGGTGGTGCAACCGAGAGGCAGAGCAGGACAGCAAAGCACTCAATGTTCTTTTTTTCCCTCTCAGGGGGAAGAGACAGATGGAAAAGAAAGAAGGGATAGTTCTCCCAGAATTCATTGCGGCTGGTCGTGGGAGGAAGGTACAAGGGCTTTACAGAGAAAGAGAGACAAAAGGAGGTCACTAAAAAAGAGGAGGAGGGAAGGAAGGCGAGCAGCAATTTGATTCGAGATTCGTCTCTCATCTACTTTACACGTTTGTTTTTGTTTTCCAGCAGGATGAGCGGCTTCAGAATTTCTTGGGGCCCCAGGCGGATGTTTGCTTCGGGGCCACACCTGTCCCAAACGTGGGGAAATCCTCTGCACTGCTCATGTCAGGAGCCTGGAACAAACATACACAATGTTTGCTCTTTACCCAGGATGCAATGCAACACACTCGAGGAACAAAGCAGAAGTATTTCTCTAAAAGTAGAAGCTGCTTTTCAACAATTTAAAACTACTTCTCTAACGCTTCTACATATCATCCCTCCCTACATTCATTATTGTAGAGAAGAGAAAAATCAGTGTGCCCAACCTTGTTCCCTGATGCGTTCCAAGGGGCGTCCCGCACAACAAAGCCCTTAGCCGGACCCCCGCTGCCGTCATCACCCCCTCCTGCTCCACCGGGCCCTCCATAGCGAGACGGAGGCTTCATGTAGGCTGCCAAGGTCTCCGTCTCTGTCACGTTGAGCATCTGAGAGGTGAGAAAAAGGAGAATCGCTCATTAAAACGGTCTCGGTACCCAATTTACTTCGTCAGCACTTTCCATGTTTAGTGCTAGGATTTCAAAATGTTGCTACCACTACAGTCTTTGCACGCTCACATATTCCTCCTCCAGGTTGAGCAGGTGGTCCACAGCGTTGTCCACAGTCTCAGGGAGGCCGGTCACCGTCACTTTGTCGGGCTCGTCGGAGCCTGGCTGAGGGAACCTGATGTCCACCTGAACGGTAGGAACGAGACGTTATAATATATAAGAAAACAACAACAAGAGAAAACCAAATAAGATTTAAAACAAAACCAACCTTGAACTCCTCCATCAGCTTGCGGATAGCTTTGCCCCGGGCTCCGATGATGCGAGCGTGGGTCCTCGGGTCCAGGCGGACATCTTGGCTCACCATCTCCTGCAGCTCGGCCACCAGCTGCTGGATGGCTTGGCTCGCCTCCTCCACGTTACGCTCGTACCCCGAGATCACAATCACATCCTGAAGATGGAAAAAACAGGATGTAGAAAAAGGGAACAGCAGATTAATGGAAATGTATTAAAATCTCAAGATAAAACACATACTTAATACTTATCTTGGGCAGCAATAACGTACCTGCTGCTCGTCTCCTTTGTCGGGGAACTGGATGCTGACGTCGTGGTCTTTCCTGATCTGAGAAATCACCGCTCCTTTGCGACCAATGATCTTTGGATGAAACTTTGGATCTACGGACACGGTCACCTTGAAACTGCGCAGGGCCTGAGAAAGGACATGGAGCAGCGTAAAAAACCTCAAACGCTCATATCTTTACAATATAATAATTGTGATTACTCTGTTGGACCCTTACCCTGTCCTCCTGCTCCGCCTGCAGGTCTTTGACCCGCTCCATCAGACCCTGTTTGGCCCGCTCCACGTTGGCTACCAGCCCCGTCACCTTGATCACATCCAGCTGCTTCTCCGGCTGCGGCACCCAGAGGTTCACCTGCAACATGCAAACAATAACTTAAAGATCAGTAAATACCAATTAGACGTATCACATTATATAAGCATATTTAAAGCAGCTGTAGAAGGCAGAGGCTTCTACATGGAGCAATAACGCCTCATGGCCACTAGATGGCACCAGAGAGTCAGATCTCACCTCGTATTCCTCCATCATCTTCCTGATCCCGCTGCCCTTCTGGCCAATGATGTAGCGATGCAGCTCGTAAGACACTTCCACATCCTCCGTTATGGGCACCAGCGCCTGAATGAGGAAACAGTGACAGGATTAAGGTAATGGATGATAAGAGAGGATATTAGGGAGCATTATATCCGTAATTAAATAATAGCATAATGGCGCCTACCAGCAGGGCGGCTTTAGCCATTTCACACTTCTCCTCATGCCCAGCGATGGTGATGATGTCACACTTGCGGGGGACGAACTCCGCCTCTAGACTGACCTCACCGTTTTCCTGTGGTGGAGCATCCTGACCTGAAATGTCACAAGACGTCATGAATTTAAAGCCAGTTTGGCAGCAGTTTCATGTCAGAATAATACATTCTCCTAGCAGCCAAAATGTAAAAATATCACAAAGGAACACAGTGAACAGTGACCACCCAGTGCCAGAAGATCCCCATATATCCTAAAACCTCACCAGTACTTTCTTATTACTCTGCCCTCTTTGCCATGGCAACACATTAACAACATCATTAGTCTCACAGCTCTTGTTCTCTCGTGTGTTCCTGACCTGCAGCGCTGTCGTCCCTCTCCGGGAACTTAATTTGGACTTCATTCTCCCTGGTGATGTGCTGGATGCGGCAGCCTTTGGGCCCCATGATGGCTCGGTGGAAGCGCTGGGGGATCGCCACCTCCACACACACCTGGGACTCCTGTAGAGAGAGAGGACACAGCTGGGTGACAACGGCAAACAGACAGGAGTTCAGATCACATCCATTACTCCTGGATGTAAAATCAAAGTGCAAATATGCAGAGAAATATACGTTTTTTTTTATGACTTATGGTTTCTTAATTTCTCATTGTCTCTTACCAGGTCCTCGATGATCTCCTGGATGCGTTTCTTGGCGGCGTCCACGCAGTCCTTGGCCCCCTTCAGAGTGACCCTCTGACTGTTGGCCCCCGTGCGAGGGAAGCTGACGGCCACGCCGCCGTACTCCTCCGCCAGCTCCCGCAGCACCTGGCCTCTCCGGCACACGAAGTGACGGTGGTGGCGAGCGTCTACGACCATGCTGTCCTCCACCACGTCGTCCTGGAGAGGGAGATGAGGAGACAACAGGAAGTGGAGGGTATTCAAGAAGAACAAGGGGATATTTAAAAAAGAATACGTTGTAATGTAACACACTTTTTTTCATATGCCAGCTGGATTATTCTAAATCTATCAACCTTTCCAATATAACATTTTCACTGAGCTTTTGTTGTTGAAATCTAAAGTAAAAATGGCCCTGGCACTTTTGAATGACTTTGCTAGTAAAATCCGAATTAAACAAGAAAGATAATCTGACAAAAAGAGCAAAAGAAAATTAGGCAGGCATACTTGTTTAAGATTGAAAAAGTAGTAAAAAGTAAACAAATTAAGGAATCATTCTTAAATATAATTTAAAAAAATCAAAGGAGATAAAACTAAGTAATTGAAATGTTATTACCAGGTTTTTGACCAGGCTTTCCAGCTCCTTCTGGGCCAGACGTACGGCCTCCTCCTTCCCTACGATGGTGATCAGTTCCTGCTCCGTGTCGTCCGGTGACGGGAAGATGATGCGGGCCCCCGTCTTGTCCCTCACTCTGCGAATATTAGCGCCGCCACGGCCAATCAGGAACTTATGATACTCTGGTTTGGCCTGGAGCTCCGCTGTGAAGTTGTTGACTTGCTGAAAAGGGAAGGAAAGAAGGACAGAGGACAAGAAAAGCGAGTAAGTATTTCCTCCTCTCTATAGTTACTGCATCCCTTTTCTGCCCCGCCCACCTTCTCCTCAGCCAGCTGCAGCAGCAGTTTCTTAGCCTTCTCCACCTCCTCGACGGGCCCTCTGATGGTGACCTTATCCGAGCCGGACCCCTCGGAGGGGAAGTGGATGTGGACGCCGCCGCAGTCCTCCATGATGGAGCGCACCAGGCAGCCTTTAGAGCCAATCAGAGAGTTGTGCAGCTTGGAAGGGATGGCGACCTCCGCCTCCTTCATGTTGGCCTGAAGGGATGAGGAGAGAGCCAGGGATACATTAAGGTACGCCTACATTTCAAGCTTGTTCTCCCTTCGCCTAACCTCTCTTTGATTATAAAAGGAATGTCAAAAATATTCCCTCACTAAACTTTAAGACTGGCCAAGTTTATGGTGTTAATTTAATCAGACTTAGAAAAAGGTAGTTTTCAAGATCAATTTAGTAGCTTTCTCCAGCTTTACTTATTAGAATTGTTGAGCATTGTCTGTCTTAAATAGCAAGCAAGAGTTGAAAGGGGCAGGAATGAGCGAGAGGACATTCGAACCAGCATTGTTTCATTGTTTCATCAACCAAAGGCTATTCTTTCTGCGGCAGCTCAAGAAATACAGAGTGAGGAAACATCTCCTAATCCAGTTCTACACAGCCATCATCCAAAGCATCCTCACATCATCCATCACAGTCTGGCACAGCAGTTCAGACCACCTCTCCCGGAATAAACTTCAACGTATCGTCAATAAAGCATCAAAAATCACCTGTAGTCCCCTTCCATCACTCGAATCACTTCACCACCAACGAACTGTCACAAGGGCAAGGAAAATCATTTCTGACCCCTCCCACCCAGCTCACCATGTCTTCCAACTTCTGCCCTCAGGGAGGCGCTACAGGTCACTGTCCACCAAAACCGCCCGCCTCAAAAACAGCTTCTTCCCCTTTGCTATACGGACACTAAATGGACTCTAAATAACCCCGATGAACAATCACATCAATCACACCTTGAACTTTATGTATATAAGTCATGATGTATGTATTTGCCCTGTGCTGTGTGTTGTACTTTTTATTGTATGTTGAATTGTATGGAACAAGCTGTAATAATCTGCACTGAACACGAATTCCACCAGCTTGGCTGTGTGGTCATTAAAGATTCTAATCTAATCTAATTTAACAACTGCCACCATGTTTGAAACCACCTCTCTTATCCAAAGAGAAGGACGACAAGATATGGCTCAAAGTTCTTAAAAAACTGGGAGGTGGAGCTTAAATTATTTGTTTCTTCCAATATATCCTGGAAGTTGCTAAAACTATGAAAAGTTCTTACCAGTTCTCTCTGGATGGAGAGGATCCGCTCTCTGGCCGCCTCACAGTTGCTCTTCCTGCCTGTGATGACGATCATCTCCGAGTTACTGTTCTCTGTCGGCAGGTCGACCTTAGTGGTGGTCTCTTCCCGGATCTGGCATAAACAATATGTGTATTTTGAAGCTTTGAATATTACGAAACCGTAAACATTTAACACTGGCTGAATATTACGGAGGAATTTGTTTCGATGTCGCTTTATTTAATGATTTGGCTTTGAAAATGAATAATTTAATAAGTGACCATTTTTCGAAATTAAACAGTCTCACCTTTTTAATATTAGCGCCGCCTTTGCCAATTATGTTTTTGTGGAACTGCTTGAAGATGGGAACTGAGAGCGAGAAGCTATTCTCAATCTGGAGAAGAAAGAAAGCTGCTGTGAATTCAAATGTTGAAAGATAAGGAGAAATGGAGAGAAAGCATACGGGGGGCTCGTACCAGGTCGGCGATGATTTTCTGCAGGAACTTTGCACATTTCTCCACCTCGTTCTTCGGCCCTCTCAGCTGGACGATGTCACTCTTCTGCGCCGGGTCGGGGAAATTGATAATGACCTGGAAGCAGAGGATATTATACTCGTCAAATTAAATTAAGATCTGGATCAAAACTAATTATTTCTCCGTGATGAATGGGAGAGATAAAGTGCAGGAAGCGTCGGAGGAGACGCTTACCTCGGGGAACTTGTCTCGAACTTCTTTGATCTTCTCTCCCTTCTGGCCGATGATTGTCCGATGGAACTTCTGCTCCACGATCAGGTCTTTGGTGCGCTCGTTTTCCTGGGAATTGGACATTTATTTATTTATGCCAACACACAAAAATAAATGAATGAACCACCCTGAACTTTGACCCCATCCTCACCATTCTCTGCACCATCTCAATGAGCTCTCTGTGGGCCATCTGGACTCCTTTCGGGTCGCCCTCGATCCGGACCAACCCGCTGCGTTCAGAGTCCTGGGGGATCCGCACCGACACCTTGTACTGCTCCTTGATCCGATTGACTGTCGTTAGGGAACAGATGAAAACAAGGTAAACATTTAAAAGAGGGTTGCAAGTGTTTAACCCTAATTACTTTAGAGTTTCAATTGAGGAGCACAACACGAACCCCCTGCAAGCCTGGAAAAGGGTTGTAGGTTTTTCTGTTATATAGTATATTGGCTGCTTTACACTTTTAAAATGGTTCTGTTCTGCAGTCAATTGTAACAGACATGAGTTGAGGACAACCACATCCAATATGATTCTCAACGACAGCTGATATTACTGTCTTTTTACAGCTCCCTTTTCTAGCGCTCGAGACTTAATTAAAAGCTCTTTGAGGGGTCGTAAAGATTGGAAAAGCTTCATATAAACGCAGTATATTGACCATTTCATTTCAACAAACTGAAATTGTCTTGGAGTTTCAGTGAATTCCAGAATGCATTTCGATAACCATGTGAATAACCGCGTTAAAACCGCCGACTACATAGACTGTGAAATAATAATAATAATTGAACTGGTTGTTTCCAGTACCTAGCGTCATTATGAAACAATGACATAATCACACAATCATTTCAACTCAATATACAGACTGTATACACTACTAAGTACAGATGGCCTTCAGTGGCTTTTACTTGACATTTAATTACAAATTGATGAACGCAGCAAGCCCATCATTTATACACGGCAACCAGATATGAGATTGTGCCTTTTGACTAATGACAGAATGACCTGAAATGAAATTGGTGTGTCTGTAAATATACAAAAATACAGTGTTTATTGTATATACGTTTGACTTGGCAACTGCCCCAACACATATCCAGACTGCATGTCAAGATCCAGGTAGAAACAGCAAGATACTAAATAAATATAACACACATATAACATAGAGCATTGTGGAGACCGTAATGTATGCAGTGTTTCTGAAGTAGCTGTTCCCAATAAATAACAAACAAGTAATTTTGCACAACATGTGACGCTGCTGACTACGACAGTATGAACCAAAAGCTGAATTTACTGAGTCAGTGGCTTAAAAAGAACAGCAAATAAAAAGCTGGACGCTCTGCCATTTGAACTCTAAAGCCCAGGAGTGTTGATGTCCCAGATTGTTTTCCTGTTGAGATCAGCAGAACAAAGTGCACTCACTGTTGGCTCCGTTCTTTCCGATGAGGTGTCTGTGGAAGCGCTGCTCTATGATGACCTCGGTGTAGTCCATCCTCACCAGCTGATCACGGGGGCGGGGGGGGCAGGCAGAGGGACATTGGGACAGTAAGTTACTGAACGTGTCCCAGAGCTACAGAACTGAACCCTTCAACCCTGGGTGTATTCTCTAAAGTCTACCCTCTGGCGTTATCAGCTTCCAGATGGTCTTTATTCTAAGAGTTAATACGAATGAACTGCCAAAAGCAATCATGTCATTTAAAGTTGAAAAGTGACGACAACCTTAAAAAGAATATGAGCCTTTTACAAGATGTATTTGAGAACTACCCTATAATACATATCCCAGGTAGGGCTGCAACTAACAGCTAGTCTCATTTGTGATTTAACTTGTAAAATGTGAAAAATGACCATCACAATGTCTTGAAGAGCATTCTAAAAATGCTTGTTTTATCTGACGAAGAGTCCTAAGAGATATTAAGTTTCAAATACAGACGTAAATCAATCTTCCTGGACGACGTAAAACTTATAACATCACTATTATGTCTTCATTTTCACTAGTCTTTTTCACATCATACCATAGGTATCAATCACATTGTGTGTTATTACTCACCAGGTCCTTGATGATCTCCTGTATCTGGGCCTGAGCCTGTTCCACCTCCTCTGTCGGACCCTCCAGACTGATGCGCTCCTCTCCGTCTGTGAACTCTATGTGAACCTACACACACACACACACACACACACACACACACACACACACACACACACACACACACACACACACACACACACACACACAAGATAAACCAATGACCATAATGCTGATGCTAACTTCCCTCTTCTACATGAAATGCACTGTTCCATATTATCCGTCATATAGTCTCTGATCATCCCTCTCTTACCCGTGGCAGCTGCTGTGTGATGCGCCCGATGTTCTGTCCTTTCTTGCCGATGATGTAGCGATGCAGCCAGGCCGGGGCGGTCACCTCCACCACCATCACACTCTTCGCCTAAAGAGGGACACAAGGACTTAAAGGTTCAAATCCAACTTCTCTCGAAAAAAACAAAACACTTTTAAAGCATGTTACAGACTGATTCAGCTGCAATAAATAACTGGAAATCAAAGTTCCACAACAACTGATCAAATGCCACTATGCAATTCAAGGCTTTTAGTAACCAATACCATTTCCCCCTCCCCCCCTCACCTTAGCGTACACCTGTGTGAGCGCCGGCCCCAGCTTGTCCGGCTCCCCCCTGAGGATGATGGTCTCTGATCCGGAGTCCAGAGGAGGCATCTCCACAGAGACCCCCGTGGTCTCCAGGATCTCCTGCAGGGTGTTGCCCTTTGGCCCAATGATGTACTTGTGCTGAGACTTCTTCACCTCCACGGAGATTGTGGTGGTCTTTCTCTTCTGCAGGGGGAGACGGGGAGAAGAGACATGAGTGGCAAGGAGGAAGGACAGATGTGGCACGGTGAGGGATGGATGGGCTCACAGCAGGAGACAGGGAGAGGAAGGACGCACAGGAAGCAGGAAGGACGGACAGATGAATGTCAGTCAGTAGGCGGACAGGGAGAGGAAATAAGCTGGCTGGAGGTGAGCGGAGTGATTGAGAGCGAGAGGGCATGTATTTGTTTCTCCCTCTCATGCATATGCACTGAATGACATTAGCATTCTCATCCTGTTGTTCTCTGTCCAAATCCAATTTACTCTCCCCATTATCTCCAGCCTGTCTATTGCCCGCCCACACACACACACACACACACACACACACACACACACACACACACGCACGCGCACACACACACACACACACACATACACACACACATCTCCTCTCCACATCTCATCCATCTTTTAGAGTTTGTGTGTGGTGGAAAATAAAAACACCAGCACTGTTGAAAATAATGATACAACTTCCTCATTCCAAAAACAAACAGTTTGTGGAAAGATAATATGTGCAACTACGTGTGTGCCATAAACTCAATCTGTTCGGTTACCTAGCAGGGAATAGAAGTTGTTATAAATAACTGACAAAGCGACCAAATGTCCGATGATCCAATACACTAGCCGGTAGAATTGTGAAGTACTCCAGCGTACACTCAACTGCCATGATTCCATTTCATGTTGTTTAGTTCCTTGTTTTGCTTTTGGGTTTTTCTTGAGATTGATAGGTTTTCTTAGATTCTTAATTTAGAAAACTTTGACATTTTCGAATAAAATCTACTTCCTAAGCAGTAAATGAAAATATCTTAAGCACTTATTGAAAGAAATATTAAAAAAATATAGATTAAAGACTGACATTAAACAGCGGCAAAAAAAACAAAAACAACAAAAAATAGTTAATCATCATATTAAAGGTCAGGTAAGAGTTTAAATTAAGCTGATTCATCAACAATATTTATGGTTGGAATGTAAACGGCCAAGTTTTCCTCTAAAAGGATATTTAATTAGATTACAGACTTAAGACCACTTTCTTCAAATATAGGTAACCGTTTCGTTTTTCAGCTGTTCTTCAAAACCAATTTTACATTACAAACCAATTGTAAAGTCAACCAGGAAGCGCACCTTGTCGTCGTAGATGGCTCGAATGCGGCTGAGCGCCATGGCGACGGCCTCCTTCTCCCCGGTGATGACGATCTCGTCCTTGGGCAGGCTGGGGGGGGGGATGCTGATGCGAGCGCCCGTCTCCTGGCTCAGCTCCTGCACCAGACGGTTGTGGGCTCCGGCGATGAAGGGGTGGAAGGCCTTCTCCAGGGAGAGACGCTCCACCGCACGCTTGTCCTGGTGAGCGTGAGGGTGGGGGTGGGGGGGGGGGGTCAATGAAACAATAGAATATGTAAATAGGGACTGCCAAGATCATAGAGGCAATAAAGTCAAGTTTCAAAGAAGCGAAAAATGTAGTCTCTGACCGGGGATTTGAACCTATACTTCTGGTTTCAGGTCGACGTTCTTTAAGCTCACCTGTTCAGCAGAGATCAGAAGTATTTCGTGGCGGGCCTTCTCGATGCCCTCCTTGGTGCCGGTGATGCGGATGTTGGTGCTGGGGTCGTCAGGGCGTGGAATAGCGATCTTGGTGGCGGTCTTCAACTCCAGCTCCTGCAGCTTCTCGCCGTTCTTACCGATGACAAAACGGTGGTGCTCCTTAGGGATGGCGACCGTAGCTGAGGCCTAGAGGGAGGAAGTGAGTAAGATCTGCATTGGTACACATTGGATTGGATCAATGTGCGTTATCTTGCAGGAACTGATCTAAATGGCATTAAATCAATCTTTAAGGTTCAGATATATCCTTAAAACTATAGAATTGTTGAAGTTTCCACATTCATATGATATTAGAGAAGAGAAAATTAGTTTTGTTTCTCACATTTCTAGTTTACCAAGGACATTATTAATGGCAACCGTGGAATATGTGTGTTTTTTAGTTAGGTAAACAAAAACAGAAGCATTTGACCTTGCGAAAGAGCCAGATTGTTTTCCTGTACTGTTGTATCAATAACTGCAGCTCAGCTAAACAGGTGGACTTCAGTGCAGGCATTGAAGTGGAAATCAGCATGTTTACTGCTGAAGCCCAGGAAGGCAGCCGCCGGGAGCTGACGGTCATTTTTCAACTCATCTTTTTGTCCTAAAGCGACCTGCCTGCACGGGCTATGCTATATCAATTTGTGTGAGTGTGAAAAAAAGAACAAATGGAAATAAAAGGATTGAAGCATTCAAATGTCTTTGATCCGACCCATAGGTTGAAGTGGAGCAGGTCATTGTTCTTGCTCAAAGAAACATCTGATACTTTTGGTATATACATTTGTTTTGAATGAATTTAAAATAGTAATGAGTAATCAACAGAAGCTAATTATTCGACACCAGCACATAACAGGCTTGCACCAACATAGATTGTAACACACTGTATCAATGCCAAGAAGATATGATAGGCATTTTTTTATTGTTATTCCCGTGATGTCATGACGTTCTACAACTGGGTAACAAAGGCTACAAATTGCATATATAGAAAAACAACGCATATAGTTTATATTTTTTGAAAGTCAGCTGCAATATTGGTAACATTACTTTAATTTGCAAGAACGGACTTGACCTTCAATTATTTGGACGAAGGTGTCTGCTGAACCTTTATCCAGCCAAAGAAAGACAGTATTTTAAATAGATCTTATCAACATAAACACAACCTGCCATGACTTCAGTACCCGAGCAGTATGAACATGTCAGCGGTCAGTTTACCTGTGTCTGCAGGCGAGCTACGATCTCCTTGCGAGCCTTCATGACGGAGTCCAGTTTTCCGGTGACCATGATGGACAGGCCCTGGTCTTTGGCCAGAGACAGCTCAATGTGGGCCCCCGTGCGCTGCATGATGTCCAGGCACACTTTGGCCTCCTCGCCCTCCCCAAACTGGTTGTTGTCCTTGTAGCGACGCTCCTCCAGGGGAACATGGAACACCTACACACAGATTGCATGATTAATAGACCTTAAAATGACAGACCAAGTGTTTTCCAATACATTTGAAGACTTCAAGTTTCAAGTCTTTATTGTCATTTGCACATTAGCTACAGAGTAGATATGGCAATGAAAAACGGGCTCCTCCAACAGTGCATATATATATATATATAGGACATAGAAAACTAGTGCAAGAGAATGCTTTGACATTTGCAAGTAAACACAAATAAAATAGAATATAAATAGTGCAAGAAGAGTCTACTGTATATACACAGACTAGACTTGTATCTTTATATACATACTGTTTCCTGTTTATGTTCTTAGTGACTGGCTGCCTGACCTGGGTGATGACAGAGGCTTTGATGGGCCTGATCTTGCCCCCCCACGCTGAAGCTGGCTCCCCCGCCTTTTCCCCCGGCGCCTCCTTCTCTGGCAGAGGAGGGAAGGCCTCCAGGTAGGTGGGGATGTAGGCCTCATCCTCCGGGACGCAGCCTGGCCCGAAGACACAAGAAGGAAGGGATGAAATCAAGGACAGAGGGAAAACACCGAATGCATGTATGGATTGTTGAAGGAGCATGTCAAATGGAAACATAGATAATACAGGAATAGGTATGATGTTTAAAGGAGGACCTCAAAAATCACCCTCAGGAAGAATCTTTAAAAACGACTCGCAAAGGCAGAATATGTTTGCCTCACGGTTTTAGCCACGAGCTTCTGAGGTAAACATCTTCTTCTTACTAAAGTATAAAGAGATGAGTTGATGACAGGCGGAGGTTACCTGTGTTCTCCTGGTCCTTCAGGCCACTGCGATGCTCTGCAAAGCTCTCCGGGGTCAACACTGCCACTGAGCTCATGGTCTAAGATTTATTCCGCTATTCCACTAAGAGGTGGGAAAGGATGGAGTATAAAAAAAAAAAAGACATTAGTTGCTGCATTCTGCGTATTCCTAAAATAGTTAAACCCTCCGCAAAAAGGCACAATAATAGTTCTCCTGCCCTCCTTTGGTTTGTATTTTCTCTAAGCTTGCTTTCCATGAATCCCAGAAGATTAGCTTCGCAGCACCGATGCAACATGTTACACCTGAGATGCTCCAATTAACACTTTAGAGGCCTCAGACAAACACGCAGCGCCCCGGGGAGCGAGTTATCACAAGTCTGAGAGCCGCCTTAGTCTGAAAACACCCGCTGCTGGTTCAGAATCACGGGGTCTTCCCAGAGTGCTTTTTAAAAAGTCAAATGAAAGAACTATAAATCTACGAACTGTTCCTCTGACTGTGCAAGTTTTTGTAAACCGATAAGCAATAAGAAAAGCATTCAGCAGTCAATACAATCATTAAAGTCCTGAAAGAAACTACACATTTAGGAAAACCCCTACAAATGTGTTTTCTATTTAAGACTTAGTGGAGAAAATCTTTTACTTCTATTAATTGGATTTCTTTGAATGAGTAATGGAAATAACGGTTGAGCATCCTTAGATTATTGGAGCCATTTATTTGTACGTAATATTTCTGCAAAGAGAAGTTTTCCCTCGCTCTTAAATAGACATGTAAATCCATCCCCTCGCTGTGTAAGGCCTCTGGAGTACAACAGAGACTTTGTGTTGTACTCTAAATATCTGTGGCATGCTCCAAGAAGATGGCTTCTGCTGAAATGTAACTGTGCTCTCAACTGTCGAGTGAAATCTCCTCCTGCTGGTAAAGAGCCCCTTAAAAGCCCAGAAAATGAAGCTACACAAAAGAAGTATCTCATGGAGGGAAAAGCAGCCGTGTAGGCAATATAAGAGAACACAGTAACGCCAAGTTAAAGCGGTGGGAGAATCGATCAAATTGTATTTTACAAAGTGAGCCCACGCTTACCTGCAAAAGGGTCAATTGCCAGAGAGTCCGTCCAGTTAGCGGCTACCGTAGGCGCTTCAGTGTGAGTGTGTGTTTCAGCTCCTGGGTGCACAGAGACAAGAGACTGAAAGTGAACACTGTAAATCAAAAAGGCTGTAGCAGCAGCAGCAGCAGCACGGAGGCTGGATGAACACTGAACACCCACACTGCACTGCACCTTACTCTGCCTGGATCTGATTCACTCACCCCCCCCCCTCCCCCCTCTCCACATCTCTCTGCTCATCTTCCCTCCATACTTCTACACACTCATTGGCTCAGGAAATTAGAAAATTAATGTAACCACAGAATAATGAGAATATACTGTAGCTGATCACACAGAATAATTATGCAATGCCTTTTCTCTCTTACTTGTTTTAGGTTAGGATCTTAGTGTTGAATTGGGTTCACAGGGGGCTTGGGGGGCCCAGCTGTGCAGCCAAAACTCTTAAACTTCGTTTTTTATTGCTAGTTGAAAAGGTATTCTAAGATAACAAAATTGCGACGGTAAAGTTTCAGAAAGTTTACAAGATGATGTAGAGAAAATGTGGAATATTTTCCAAATGTATGGAATAGTGCGGACACAGATTATATGGAGTCTTGGGTTTAATATTTCATCAAAAGTGAAATGATCTTCATTGAAAAGCTGAAATCAATCTGTTACAGATTGTGTTAGCCTACTACAGACTAGAGTATTTCAAATGCAAATACATCTACAGTTATTTGAATTTGATTATTGAGCAATTGATTTGTAGAAATAAGATACATACCATAACTACAATGAATTTATGAAATATGATAGATCTTACTTCATTGCACACCTAATAGAGCTGCAGGAATAAGCCCAAAATAGAACAAATACTACAGGTAACGGCTACACGTTAATGAAGCAATAATAATTAATGTAATAAGAAAACGTAATACAACTGACTGAGAACGTTATCATATAATGACATATAATGTATTTAGCTATTAATGCTTAGGTACATGTACAACAATAACACACACACACACACACACACACACACACGTTTGCACAGCAGGTACAACTGTGAACTCAGTGCTTTTAATTGTTTGTATTGTGTAGTTTGGTATTGCCACAATACTTCTTCCACCATTGGTTAAGGGGTTAAATAAGTAACTACTGCCGCAAGTTTCCCATTGTGGCTCAGCGCCTGCTAACACTTGGTTACATTGCTAACAATTATACTGAAATTCAATAAATGAATGAAAGAAACAAAGAACATGTGGTTCTCTGTAATACAGTATAGCGTTTATTTAGCCACCACTGTGCCTAACAATACTAGTACCACCAGTTATCTACAGGAAAAATGAAATAAAGACGGCGAAATTAATCCCACTGTGCACCATGCTAGCTAACGGTTCAGTGAGACGCATCTCTCTTTAGCCGATGTATTGCTAGCTTGAGGATGAACTGAATGGCTTAATCTGCAAGCATAGGCGGACAAATGCAAAGGGTTTGAAACATTATTCAGCCGGGTTTGCAAGGCTAACACACATCACTGTACTCCGACCTCAGCCGGAGATGATTAGGCGCAAGGACTTTCTGATAATCGGTTAAAAAACAAGACAGGCGGACATATAACCAGCTTCAGCTCCGGGGGCGCTGTAAAGGCTGCTTCCCTTTGTGTTAAAACCGGCTTTTTCGCTTCCACACATACACTCTTGAATCCATCTACTGTTTGGCACAATTAGATTAAAAGAAAATATGAAATAAATACATAATTCCTACCTTTCAGAGAGAAATATAGCAGAGGGTGTGTGTTTGACAGGTGATGGTGTAAACACAGATGTGATTGGTCTACGAGCATTTCCTATGCCCGCGGAGTGATACCAGCATGCACTTGGACTCACATAGTATAAAGGAAATGCCGCAGTATCTTTGCGCAACAGGAGCATCCAGGTTAAATAGATCCGTGGGATTCTAGTCCTGTTCTTCACACCCTTATGTTTTATTGAGGTGTAAAGGAGTCATATGTGGTGTTCATTATAGTAATTGATTATTGAAATAATGTTTTCAAGTTATCAGCCCTCGCAACGTCTAACGTCCGTCAATCTGACCGGGACTACTTATCATTCATGATGCCCTGTGTGCTCTCAAGGAAGTCAGAGCGTCATACTTTCTCTAAAGTTATAAATGCTTTGTATTCTTGTTGTCAATTCAAACTACTAGATAGTAAGTCAATCGTTTTAGTTACTAAGTACATGTTGAGATAGTTAATCATCCAAAGACCTAAAAAGCCGAAATCATGAGATAAAAGTTTCTGTCTTTGATTGATACATTTAAATCATCACCTATTCAATTACAAATGTGTCCTTTTTTTAATGACATTTTTAGTAATTAAGTTGAGTTATGAGACTAAGTGAAAAGGTTTAGCTAGCCTACTTAAAATAATAAAATATAAGATCAAGATTTTAATTATGACGTCAAATGTATGATATGGTAAGTGAAAAATATGATAAGTCAAACTAATGAGATAGTAAATTGAAAGTTTGGATTACTAAATCAAATATTTTACAATAACAACCCTTGGCGGTGGTGGCGAAGTCCATAGGGACTTGGCTTGGCAACTGGAAGGTAACCAGGTGAAGTCCCGAAAAGACCAAGTGCTACCGAGGTGTCCCGGAGCAAGGCACTGTTCCCTACACTGCTCCTCGGGAGACTTACATAATGGCAGCCCACTGCTCCTAACACTAGGATGGGTCAAATGCAGAGAAACCACTGTACTACGTAATGACAATAAGTTGAATCTTCTTCAATCTTCTTAACGATAAGATACTTAATTACTTTTAGGTATAGATCATGACTTACTTTTAACCTATTGTTGGATTTTCCTAGCAGAAATTGCCTTCCATAAGGTATTGATTTGCAGAGCTATTCAAATATACATGTAATATCTAAGGAATCCAGTTTAATGGAAACTTCATGTCTGTTCCACTCTAAGACACTAGGTGGAAGTATTATACAAAAGTAAAATACAATAGTTAAGGGAGGGCCGGACACAGTAGCCAAGTACAGCCTTCTGTGCACCTGTAATCTGACATGGTTATATATTGTACGCAACAATATAAAGTAATTCTGTAGCTCTTAAAAATGTGAGTGTTAGTTATTGAGTGCCTGTTTTATATCTCAGCCACTTAAACAAAAACTTGGTCTCAGTTTTTTTTTTCAAGCACGGATTTTAACGTCAGTTACAACATATTTGTTTACGATACCAACAAAAAACACAACAAATATTTGTATTTGTATTATAGTTCTCGGACGTAAGTAGATGGAAGGAACGAAGATGCACTCAGGAAGTTTCCGATTTGTCACATTTTGACTTTCAAAATAAGAGTAAACTCAAATTAAATCAAAAAATAAAGCATTACCATAAAGAAGTCAATTAATATATTTGATTTAATGAAACACAAATTGTAATGATTTCGATGAATTGTATAGTTTATGCAAACATATGGGGATATAATTAATTATTCTTTGATTTTGTTTTCTGAATGAAAACAGTGTGCTGTTTTATTCAGCTCTACTTTTTGTATCTAATTTTCTTTGAGGGGTAATTTGTCATGCAACCATGTAGACACCATATACTGTACATATAAAGGTAGACACTCACAGAATTGACCAGAAAACCATTTAAAAAAACATAAAAGATGCACACATAAAACAAAATGCTATAACCCAACAGACAGGCTTGCTTAACATGGTGTAATTCAAGAGAAAACATGTATGGAGTACATCTAGCCATTATTATCCCACCCAATCATCTATTGTTAAAATACTAATACACTAATATCCATTTGATCACCTATTTTCACAAAGGGGAACCATCATAACCTACATTTGGAAATGGGCAGACTTTAAATATTTTATTTTGAAAACCCTCACCGGAACCAGTAAGCATTACCATGGGTAACTTGGAGGCTTCAGTCCTCAGGGGGGTCGCTGCGCTCTACCTCCCGTCCTCTCCTCTCATACATGCTGCTGCTAACAAAGGAGACAACAACAGGGGGATGATGGGAGCTCAGACAACAAGCCTGTCAGAAAAACAATAAGAAACTCAACCGGGTTGCTTTTACTTTGTGGATATATATTTTTTAACTAACTATTCTTTTCACCGCGGAACGACTTACGTTTAAAGTAACGTAGCTGTGCACTGGACCGATTTTAACGTAAAGCTTTTTTTCTTTCCAAAGCTATCCATGTTGGACTGCCAACACTAGAGGCGAATAACAGAAGAGAAACAGTCAGACATGGCTGAATAACACTGGTGAGTTTTATTCCATATTTTAATTAAAATGGTAGTATTACTGATAGTTAAAGGTGCGGTTTGGTAGGCGTTTACGGATGATTCTGGAAGCACCTGTTCCCATAAGAAAAACCGATGTAATACTTGTTTTAAAGATGAAACTGACATTGTCATACTGAAAGGTAATTGTTTAAGCTTTGTGGTATTTATTTGGAATATCATGTTTAATATTTCGACATATTTCCCAATCTTGTACTAGGTAGGTGACGATACTACTCTACGCCATATAATACGCGATTTTGGCATACACATAATTACGTTAAATGCACACTTTAACATGTTATGAATAGCCCCCCATTGACACTTAATTCGTCTTTGTGTTGATTTTGTGTTTCGTTAGTATCATCAAATAGGGTAGACCACCATTGGCAGCTCCAGATGTGATATATCCTTAAATCACAATCAAATAGGACCTAAACATTATATCTACATTTGCAAATCCATAGGTGTGTTTTTCTTTTTCTGCTTATGTCACTAACTGTGCTTATTCCTCTTTCCTGTAAACCCACTCCTGTGTGTGTATGAGTGTGTGTTTTCCAAACCGACATACCTTTTCCGTCCCCTCTCTCTTCCTGTCCAACGTGGAGCACTTCACATGTATTGTAATGGTAGCTCTCTTGAAGCCCCTCTACCCGGTTTGTATACACACACTGACCCATTAGTGTCCAGATGGCGTACTGTACACACACACACACACACACACACACACACACACACACACACACACACACACACACACACACACACACACACACACACACACACACACACACACACACACACACACTGTCACTCAAGAGCATTGTGTTAATGGTCGACCCCTTTAAGCACTTAAGGATTGTTCTCAAGCTGGTGTGATTTAAGGGATCACACCATATTTGATTTTTTTGGACTTACCAGGACAAACACACTTACTGGAATGAATGACTGGCCCACTGACCCAGCCTGAGTGTGTGTAGGGTCCAGTAAACTAAAAGATGTTGCTATTGAACTAACCAGGTCAATAGAGCAAACGGAGACAAAAGAGAAGTGAAATTGGGGCTTTTGGAAAGAAAGTCATGGGGGAATTGTTACCTCAGGTCTAGCGTCTCACTTGGTCTATAAGTGCATTTACACACAATCAGAATGTGTTATCGCCACTGTGTAGAAGAGTGCTTTGTGAGTGTACACACCCTCCTATTTGAGGTTTCTATGTCACCCAGTGGACAATGATAATAACCAGAGGGCTACAACTGAAACCTGGTAAGACTTACACACACCCATAAACACAAACATTGCTGTGGTGATGTCATGTTTCCCAAAGTATTGATTATAAAGTACTCAAAAAGCAATAACTTGTTAGACAAAGACGAAAATAGTGCACAAGGGCGTAGTTTTTATAATTAACCTCCTGGCGTTTTAATGCATTTCATTCCTGCTCTCTGAATTTGTAATTATCTAGTGCATTGTTGTCTGTCCACCCAGAAGCATTTTTTCTTTGACAGACTGAAACATGAAACCCTGTCTGTCCTTTTTTTATAAGCTCACTGACTGTGCAGCATTCACATCCCAAAGAAACTGGTCCGACTAGCCGGTGCGCTTTCTCAATAACGTGTGTTTGACTCTGTGTGGAAAGGAGCTCAGAGATAGATTGTTGTCTGTGACGCTTTTGTTTACCTGCTGGTATCAGACACTACGCTTGTTTAATTTCCCAAAGGTGTTGCCTGGTCACTACATTATATAAAATCACTGGCTCCTACATCCGATGGAAAACACACTGTAATCTTTTACCAAGTGAGAGAACACCCCACTGAATTAGTATTGCTCTTGCCTAATGGTGGGTGACCTGCAAGAGATACATTTACAAATAAATGTAAAAAATAATTTAAAAAAACCATTTGATAAAGATTTTTTTTTACTTTGAGTCAAGGCATATTCTTGGCAGGATGGGAGGACATCTGAAAACCGCTTACCGTCTCTTCTTCTTGTGAAGCCATGTTACCCACTCATCTAATCCCAGGCAAAGTGTGGCTTTTACACAAATACGTTTTTAGTGATTGATACAACATATCAGTAAAGTGTCCATTTGCTTCAGTGTGAGATCTCATATGTCTGCAGGTCAGTTCAAGCTCCAAAAACACAGACTAAATGGCACTGCAACCAGGCCCGCCCATGACGCCGGGTCTGACTGCAACCAGGAGTTATTTTCCTTATCAATTAATCAGCCATTACATTTCCCAAAACCATAATGTATTGTTCTTCTCCATCAGACTGTCAAAACCCCAAGATTGTGAATTTCCAGGGAAAGCTAACTGTTCTTATATTTGAGAAGTGCAACAAGTAACTTTAATTTCACAAAATCCTTTTTGCAATTCATTTTTTAATTTCAGTAATTGTTTCAGCATTTGTTTGTGCGGATAGTTATTGAGATATTTCAGCCTGGAGTGGTCAAGTGGTCCAACCAACATGAACATCCATAGAGAAATGCTGCTAGTTGACATATGATGCGATGACTTGCGGTTAATACGATATAACTGCCAGTTGCTTATTAGTCTCTTTATTTTTAACACTTGCTAAGTGATTGATCAATGTATCCGAAACTGAGTCACTACATGTATCCTCAATTAGAGCTGTTTTTAAGTTGCAGCCTTTACATGAGGCGTGTGTAATCCCTAAAACATGTAGCTACATGCAATATTCATGTTTGAAAGAGTCACACAAAGTAGTGCAGCGACGTCTTCCTCTGCATGACTCATAACATGAGAGACCCTCCTTTGGTTCGGTTGGGCATCAGCTGTTGCACACACATCAGAAACACGATGAGAATCTGCAGCATGGCCATTTGGTGACCAATGAATCTGTTTCTTTTTATAAAAACTTATAGGGCTGTCTCATTTGACTAGAGTCTTTTAAATAAGGACGTTTCTCAGTGTTTGAATATTTAAAGACTGAATCAGTGTGGATTAGAGCTGCACGATATTGGAAAAAATGACATTGCGATTCCCCCCCCCCCGCGTTATATATTGCGATATGAAAACATACAGAAATTGAAGAAAAGACCGTTTTTTTCCCATCCTTTCTTGAACTTTAATGCTACACAATTGGTATTTTTCTAACCATATTTAACCGGATGAAGGATTTTAGTCACGGACGTCTGGATCTTAAGTTATCAGAGCAACAATCTGAGCTAGCTCGGTTAGCAGCGCCGAACTGCCCTGGAGAAACACATGAAACTACTTTATTCAGTGTTTTTACCTTTTAATCACCGGGTCCGTCCGCTGTGGAGATTTGATTGTGATTGGTGATTTGCTGTGCATGCAGAGCCAGCATGTCACTCACTCAAGTACCCCTGACATGAGAGCCACGCAAGTTTTCCTTTTGTAGCAAGCAGCAAAAATAATTGTAACATGATGTGTTTGAGTTAATTTGCCTACATAATATCGCAAGTCCTAAAAAAAAAATTAAAATAATAATAATTAAGATAAAACATATATCGTGCAGCCCTAGTGTGGATTTACTGCGGTCTCGAGTGTCATGTGTGTACATATTTAATGACCTTCCGATATGGGTTTTCTTGCATAACATTGAAAACACAGAACACACTTAGGGTAGCTTTTCTTATGAAAACATGGACTTCTCTGTGAAGAGCAATGAAGGCTTTTCAACCTGTTTAGGGCAGCAGTGGACAGGGTGGAGTGCTCGTAAAATAAGATTTGTATTGAAACAGTGGTTAACTATTAATTGAATTACAACAGTGTGTCATCCATCGAAGTAATGCCGTTCAAAATGTTGTCTCGCTACCCAGGTATTACATATGAATGATCAGCAAACCAGAGGACAATTGGCTTTTAGATTAGCTGCTTCACTGTGTCTTTTATACGCTGAGTGAATAATATTACATTTGCAAATAGTTTCCAAAGGATGACGGCTCTGAAATCGAAACCTCTTTGATCGGCTTCCCTTCTCTAATACAGTGACGCATTCCAGCCATTAAGCACTAAATGAATAAAGAGAGTCACGCTTTTCTGCTTTGATTCATTAATAAATAACAATTTAAGATGTTTGGCAACTTTACAATGGAAACATCAATTATCTCTAACTGGATTTCACTCCACTGCGTCACCTTGTAAACACCTTGTTTGTGAGAATGTGAAGGGATTGGACTCCTTACAGTGCAACGTTCATTTTCCCCTGAGGCCTTACAGTGGAAGAATAGAGCTCAAAGTCTAATTGAAGGATTACACTACAGTACGAACAGTGAAATATGTAGTGTTTATTGCGTTGTGTGAATGTTTATTTCAACTTCAGAAAACGATAATTAGATATGGCCTTTTTTAAGTAATCACAGGCCTAAAAAGATAATAACGACTAACTTAGAAGTTGAATGCGCTCACATGTAATCACTACTGTACACCCCCAGTTTAAAACATGTCTGTTTCTCTGCATTCCCTGTTGGCTGTATTCTTAATCATTATTCCCACCAACAACAATAACTTTCAAAAAACTACTTTGAAGCACCCTCTGTTTATATTTGAGTTGTATCAGTTTTTTATAGTGATTTTTTGACTTGATTATTTAAATGTGACATTGTTTATTCTATAGATACTCTATATCTATATATTTGTCCTGTTTGCCATTATAACCTGCTGTTCCTATAACCAAATTATCTATCTATCTATATCTACAGTAGAAAAGCTTGTTTTAACTTCCTTTTTCTTTACTCTTCAGGTGGTGATGTCATGCTCACATTGACCTTTGCCGTGAAAGCCTGACCTCTGATTGGTCAGCGCTGGGAGTTCAAACACCGTGAGAGAAGATTAGCTACCATGTCTGTTCAGGACACATCCCGGCGGGCCACGTCGCCACCACCCCTCAAATCTGACGCCAAACCGCGACCGCACATCCCTCCGAAACCCTCCCCACAATGCACCTCCCCTCGTCTGGGGGACAGAGGCAGCATCGTGAGGCTTTCAGGAGGGAAGGTGAAAAGGATCGTGAGCAAGTTTAGTCAAAATGACTCGACTGAAGCAGAGGAACAACCCACCAATGTTGCTGCAGAACCAAAGGCCGTTAAGCGCTTCAAGAAGCCGCCTACAGTGAAGCCCAAACCGAACCGAGCCAGTCTGCAGCTTCAGCTCGGGGGGGAGAAGGCCCCCCCGCTGCCTATGAAGAGGAGCCGCACCATCAAGAGGCAGAACGAGATTGAGGGGGAGGCGGACAGCATCGGGGTGGAAGGAGGTCGATCAGGTAGGGTCGGCTGACGGGCATTATTCTCTCTGCCCATTTCTTTATATTTATTTTGGACTTTTGTAATGTTTCACTAGTTGTTCATGATTGTCACCCAAACAAGAAGTACAAAGTGAAGTTTCAGTGTGACCATTACAATTGATCAAATACCCACAGATTAAAGCAAGGGCAGTATTAAAAAAGAAAACCGTTGTCACTCCTCCAGCTCGATATCAGGAAGGCGTGTCACGTGATTTCTAGAAAATGAAATGTGTCAGACTATTACCTTTGGCTGCCGTTCAGACCTGGCAGCATTTAAAGATACTCATAGCAGCTTTCATCTGCAGGAGAAAGATCAGACGACACTGTAAACAGCGTTTTACTCACTCAGTGGAGTCAGAGATCAAAGGTCAATCTCATTGATAAAACCGAAAGAATAAAACATTGTAGGGGAAGCAGAAGGTGTAGAGACTTTAGCAAGTGTGTGCTTTATTCATTTTAAAGTTAAATAAGCTCTTAAACAGACAGGTGTGGTGCCACTGGCCATACTGAACCAACGGCCCTAAACAGGTTCTGATAGGTGTGTGTGTGTGTGTGTGTGTGTGTGTGTGTGTGTGTGTGTGTGTGTGTGTGTGTG